GAATATAGCATATATAGATTAAAGGTTCTATAAGTTGCCAGAAGCGTTTTAGTATTACATATGCCTTTTGTAATGGCAGCTGCATCACCTGCCACCATAGTGGGCAGCACCTCATATCAAATAAAATTTGATGTAATGTTAGCATATCTATTAACCATTATACAATCTATTGTGACATACCTTCCTATTAATCAGCATATATTTCTATTTTAGACAATATTGTTAAGCTAGTTCTAAACTGATTGACAACACCTTGGTGTATTTGTTTGAGTTAGTCCTTGTACTATTTTTAAAGATAACAAAGTGTTGTAATCGAATACTTTATTACACTTACCTGTACTGGCTATGGCATCTGGGTTAGTTTCTTGCATAAGCAAGTGTACAAGTGACCACTTAGCGCCCCATTTATGAAGAATCATGTCAATTTTCTAAAAATACAGAGATAAGTTGCTTTTGTTAGAACACACAATGAAATCTCACTAGCCATGAAAGAGCCAACAACTTTATAAAGTATATATATATTCACATATTTACCTTTATTGTATCACGAAAATGCGGAACGGAATTCATTAGCTGCCGTGACATTCCCCACCACTGAGTACCCATACCGGAAAATACAAATACTATTGGAGTTCTGTCGTCATTAGAAGTGCCTTCAACACAATTAGGTGATGGCTTTCCATCTCGTCGTTTTCTCAGTTCTGCAATGGCATCTTCTCTTGTTCTTGCTATTATTGCTATTCTATATGAATGATGCTGTGACTTCATACTAGCTGTGAATGCAGCATTTATAAAATTGGTGTGGTTTTGTCCAATCTCATTCTCCAAATAACTAATCCAGTCTGCCACGCAATTCACTAATCCTTCTTTTGTTGCAGAAGAAAGAACTAGAAGTATTGGTAAAGATACTTCATCTCCAACTATGGGTCCTATCATTTCCTTCTTTCTTGTCTTTGGCAGTCTTTTCTCATTGGGTGGGTTATATGCTTCAAATACCAGATGTGCATTTGCACCCCCAAACCCAAAAGAACTGCAGCC